TCTTGCCAACGCTTCAATAGGATTTGAGCCAATAATCCATGAACCACTTGCTAAAACTTGGCTCTGGTTCACGGATTTGCAGTTGCAATAATATATTTGGTATTCCCCCATAAGATTTCGATGAGATTAATATCCAGTTGGACAGTTGGCCATGGCAAAACGTCGATCTTTTCCGATAACAATTAATTCCTAGCGAACTTTTATGGGTGTTTCAAGTCATTAGCAGGAATTTTTCAACTGTAACATGAATTTAATGTATTCTAGAGTATGCCTACATCCCCAGTTTCGCTCAAAACCATACTATACTCAAACGCCAGGCCAGAAAGTAATAGGTCATATGAGCTGGGCCCCATAAGGCTCAGCCTAGCATGCCCAATGATATTTTTTTCATGATTTTGGGTGGTAATCGGATTTCTGTGAATGCCAAACATATTCTTTTGAGCCTATCTTACCATATAATACAACTTGACTATCATTAGCCAAAAGTATTTTTGTCACTGTGACACAGGCCATTCCACATGCGTTTTTCCAAACTGAAGTCGTGCACCCATGTACTCTCAGACCCAAACGCGGAGCTTTCTGGGACTTCTTGCATTCAAATAATGTGTAATCAACCATCTACGAACTGACACATCACTGACAGAGCGATTAAAACTTTTTTCATAATTTTTGAGGATATTGAAGGCCTGGTCCTGCCTTTGGCCATCGCCGACCATCCTCTAAAAAATATGTTTTTCGAATATAAAATCGATTTTCAGTCCACTTCTTATAGTTAATTAATAAAACACAATAGTGAGAGTGCATACAACTTAGTTTTCAATCCCATTATACCTCCTGCCTTAAGTTTTTAGTTTAACTCTTAGGTCTCCTCTTCTTGACCGAGCAATGATTTCTTCAACGCTTCAAAATCAAAAGTACCCAAATGTCAAAAACTTTCTTTCGTCAAATTATTCGATATCTGAATTGAGCTTGCGGATGGTGACTTATTTAAATTAATTTGCTTTGTTTTTTCATTTTTTAAAATAAATTTAACCCAGCACTACTATTTCATTGAACATTTCTTCAAGTTTCTAATGCTTACATTCCAGGCTTTCCGTAAAGGTATCACTTGTTCAATTTGAAGGACTAGAAATATCTCAAAAAGAGTTTTGAAAGTAGTGAGGTGCGGCACTACTATTTCATTGAACACAACTGTATGTATGGGGGAATGAGCTTATTATTTGTGTGGAATTATTTTAATATTTTATCTGTTAACATTTTGTTTCTACATCTGTCATCTACATCTCAATGTAGAATATACATCTCCTCTGCCAGAGGGCACACGAGGCAGAGTATGTGAGCAGTGTGTGAGCGAGAGAGTGAATGAGTAGTGTCTGCAGAACTGCAAGGGGGAGGATTAGAAACTGAAAATAATATCTTCATTCTGGCTATAATAATAATACGATCTGATCCAGATTCGGCAACCTGGTATATATGGTAATTTTCTACGATACTGCGTTTTCCATTGTCTCGTATCTTCAAAATTGTGGATGCTACAGATTTTCGTCTTTTTTGGAGGCGGAAGGGGGCGGGGCAATATTTTGAAATTCGCTTGTAGGAGTGTGATATCACATGAGTTTAGAAACAAAATTTGGTTGCTCTAGCTCTTATAGTCTCTTAGAACTAGGCGCTCATCAAGACGGACAGACGGACTGACAGACAGACATGGCTATATCGACTCGGCTATGTACTATGTACATATGTATGTCTGTACTATACCCGCTACTTAGTTATTTGAAATGTACGGAAAATAACTGTAAAATGTGGCATCAATGCTAGTCTTGGCTAATAGTATTTCGCTACCTCTGGTATGATTCCCCTCCCTCTGAGAAGGTTGCGTTGCGGCCTTTCCAGCTCCGCCGACGAAAATATTCGTATTGCGATTTCCATTTTGATCTGCCCATGTATTTATCGGTATGTATGTATGTGTGTAGGTTGGTAAGTGGATAAATAGAAACAAATAGAATGTATGTATAAATATGCATGTGTATTGAGGAAAGCGATAGTCGAGCAATCGTTTCCGGATTTGAATGCACGGTATGGGTCAACATCTCTTCCATCTTCCTTCCGATATTCCTTCTGAATATCGTGGTGGTCTTTATCTGCTGGCAGTCTCGCTTGGCATCCCCTCCTGCGACGTAGTTTCGGTGTGTGCTTGGCTCTGGTTCTCAGTTGATTTCGGTGTCGTTGTGTTCTTCTCGTAGCTGGTTAATTTGAGTTCCTGGTCGGCCAGCAGCTCGAGGAGATCCTCTTGATCCTTTTGGGTGGCGCGAAGCGATTCTTGGGCAGCATCTGCACGCTGTTTTTCGGACCCAAGCTGCTGGCGTAGCATCTCCATTTCCTTGCTGAGTCGGATGTTCTCTGCAAAATACATGTTGGCCTGATATCTGGCCGCATTCAGCTCCTCCTCTCTGGCCAATGAACTCTCCTGCCTCTGAACCGGAGTCTGACCCGTTGCTCCCAGCTGAGCCTTTAGCAAGGTATTCTGATCAGAGATCTGAGCCCTGAGGGACATCTCCTCACTCAACTTCTCCTTCAAATCGGCGTTTTCTTGGTCCAGCTCCTTTGCGGACTGCTGGAGAGTCTGGATCTGGGCATCCATGCCGCGGATGATGCCCTTGTACTGGGACACCAGAGCCGAGGCTTCCGAGCTGAGGGTCAGCTCAGTGAGCTCTATTCCATCCACGTCGAACCCGCTCACCAGCTTGGCAATCAACGCCTCCAGGCCTTTATAGAGTTTGCAGTACTCATAGTCAAGCAACAGCTCGCCGGCAGACTTGGCCCTGATCTGGGCCTGTTTGCAGGCCCGGCTGTAGGCCTCGTGTCGCGAGACCTCACCCAGCTTGTTGCAGAAGGTCTCTTGGCCAATGCGCTTGATGATCAGCTGGCTGATGTCCTCGCGTCGCTGATTGGGCAGAGAGTTATCGTTGAACTGGATGCAGAGGCCCATGAGGAAGGCGCACATGCCCTGAAATAGGAATTCACGCTCGTCATGCTCGTTGGAGCAGAGCTGGGCGGTCAGGTAGACCGTGGTGCCCTTCGTCTCCAGCAGAGCCTTAACCGCGCCAGGACAATGGGCTAGCCAGACGCTGAGGAGCATCAGCAGCCCCACCTTGCTCTGGAGGCGGGTCCGCTCTCGCTGCATCAGATTGGTGCACATCTCAAGCAGAGTGTTGGGACGCTGTCCCCCTGTCGGGGCCAGGAGCACGCGCAGCAGCTCTTCCTTCAGCGCCACGTTCTCAACAAGGGTGTGCATAATGGCCACCGAAGAGAACCAGTTGGCCAGGGCATCACTGGAGAAGAGGCCGGTGCAGAGCAACTGGCCCGTCGATAACGAGCTCACATCTGTCGCACTCGATGGCAGCAGGGTCTGAACAACCGCCCTTTGAACGTCGGCGTTCCTGTAGAGATAACACTCGAAGCAGTAGAGCACGGCACAACGCAGAGCCAGCAGCTGCTTCTCGTTGATCATGGACATGAGCAAAACCACGATGGCTGGGCGCGGCGGATTGCTGGGGGCCATCACGTGACTGAGCTCGCACTGGTTGTCGCGATCGCCGCGAATCACTTCCGCGACGGCGTTGATGGTCTCAGTGAGGATGTCTGCCGGCACGCCGCTACTCATTAGGATTTCGCAGAGAGCATTTAACAGCTGGGACTTCTGCATGACGCGCTGGCAGGCGGTGACAACTTGCTGCTGGTTGCTGGGCGTGACCAGGGCGCGTACCACCTGCAGCAGGCAATGGAAGTTTGACATTTTCTGCGGGGACCAGCCGGCCTCCTCCACTTCCTCGGCCAAGACAAACATGGGGGCCAGGCGCTGAATATAGCTGCCCTCTTTAAAGAACTGCTGGTTGCTCGAGTTGTTCTTGAGCAGGTTCAGCAGCAGGATAAGGCAATCCTCCACGACAATTCCGCCATCGGAGCAGCCCTCCTCTCGGATAATGTCGAACAAACGGTCGAAGGCATTTTCAAAGGCCACAATTTTCTGTATATTCGAGTTTCCCTTGGTGAGCTCGATGAGCAGCAGAAGAACGTCGTTTCGAATGACCTCCCGGCTGTCAGTTAGTAGATCCATCAGCTTGGAGACCCCCATGGGGCTTACGAGGACAAGGTCCTGCAGCTCGCGGGTCTTGTTTGATATTAGCGAGGTGATCAGCTGAATGGCTGCTCTGCGCACCCGGAAATCGTACTCGTCTAGATAGCCCATGACCATAGTGACATTTTCTGGAGTCTTGATGAACATCTCCGTGAACTGGCCGCCGACGTTAACCGAGACAGTGGGGTTGTCAGCCTCCTCGTCGAACTCCTCGCTGGTAACAATGTTACACAGCGTGTCCAGGGCATAGCTTATAATCTCTGTGTCCTGGCCATCGTTTTGGAGTACCTGCACGAGAGTTGGCATACCCTGGGCGCCTACTTCGATGCGGTACTTGCGCGACAACGCCTTCAGGGCCCGGCAAGCATCTCGTCGGTCCTCCAACAGCGTAGAGGAGTAAACCCGATCCACCAGCTTCTCAACCGTCTCTGCAGCGCTAGGCTGTTGCCCTGGCTCCGTGCCGCCTAAGACGGTCTTGATGCCACTTTTCAAGAACTCCATCCACTTTATGGCTGAATAAATCGGTTTATATGCAGAACTTTTTTGTGCATTAATTTCTGACACGTCAATTTATAAAAACAATATTGCGACAGTGTCTGCACCATCCCAATTGGCGAAAGTGTGTCCCCAACACATAATTATATCGCGTGGGTGGCAGCTCTGGTCACTTTTGTGACAACATTTTGTCATCTTCAGAAGAATTTATAGTGAGATGAATTAGTTAATGAATAATGAATTCCGAATAATAAATGGTAATACATGTACATATGAATATGTTGTATTGTTTTGTATCATAAACATCGATAGTAAATTATACTATCGGTTGAACCATCACTACTTTGACCGATAAAGAACATTTAGCCGTAGAACAACACTGGCTAATTTATTGTAAACCATTGGATGTGTTTTTGTTTATTATGCATTATGCATTTGTTGCGCACTTAAATTATCAATTAAATGTTTGTGTGTTGCGTCCAGCATGTAAGCCATTCTAATGAGCGTCAATACAAATGCAGAGGGCAGCGCTCGCAGCGCACTCCTCTTCCTGCTGTGGCCCCTTGTCGCCATATTCTTCTCGCTGCCGTCGCAGCCTCTTGTGGCTCATGCCCAGGCCACAATGTGCCCCAAGAAGTGCAGTTGCAAGAACACTTCGGAAAACATTCACAACCTGCGCGTGCGATGCGATGATCAGCAAATTGTCAATTGGAGAGATCTAGATTTTGGCGAGGACATGCACAACATAGTCAGCATGTAAGTGAATTCATTGGCCCAATGGGATACTTTTTTAATAGTTCATATCTTGTGTTACAGCAATGGCAGCAATAACTTGATTTTCCACATCACCGAAGAAGACTTCAGGAACTTTACGGAACTTAGGCGCTTGGACTTGTCTTCGAACCTCCTTACCGAAGTGGACAAGCACACCTTTGGCGACAGCCTGGCGTTAGTGGAGAGGCTTAAATTGGCAAATAATTCGATAAGTCACATCTACGAGGGAGCCTTTGAGCAGATGTCTAAGCTGAAGCAGCTGTGAGTGTCTCAGTCTAATCCTAGTCTAATCTTGTTTAGAAATGTTTCCTCATGCTTATTTATTTGATCCGCGCAGAGATCTGTCAAGCAATCCGTTGGCGTGCGACTGCAGCTTGATCTGGCTAACGGCTTGGTCGAATGCCCGGGACGTTCGTCTCTTGCCCGCCCCCAAATGCGACTCTCCCATCAACTTCCGCGGCATGCCGCTGAAGAAACTAAAGGTGGGCATCGACTTCCACTGCGAAACGTTGCTTCAGCCGCTGCTGGAACTAGTGCCGAGCCAGAACCAGGTGGCCTTCGAGGGCGACGAGCTGCAGCTTAAGTGCTTCGCGCCTCGGGTGGCCATTGGAGCACCGCGCGAGTCCGAGGTTCTGCCCACGCGCGCGTATGTCTTCTGGGGCTGGTCGGATAGAATTCGGGTGCACAACTCCACCGAAGACATCGTCTATCGTGACCCAACCAAGGTTTTCCACAATGTTAACCTGGAGACACACGAGTCCACCGACTCGGGCATCCTCAAATCCATTCTCCGCATCGCCAGCCTCACCCAAAACCACACGGGGATGTGGGACTGCACCCTGCGCTCCCAACAGGCCAATCTCTCTCAATCCATCGTCCTCCATGTGGTAGCCAAGGGCACGCTCTACTGCGAGGCCAAGGTGGTGCACACCAACAAGGGCACCTACCACTGGCCCCGCACAATGCGCGGCGAGACCGTGCTGCAAGAGTGCGTCGAGGAGCCCACCGATGTGTCCCAGCACCGACGCGCGTCCTACGAGTGCAGCCCCGAAGGTGAGTGGCTCCACCTGAACACGGACAGTTGCGTCTACGTGAGCGAGACTACGCGCATCCTGGAGCAGTTCGCCAAGGTAAACTTGACGCTAACCAAAGGACAGAACGCAGTGGAAATCGCCCGCCGGCTGCACAACTTCACTCAGATGCAGACGCAGCTCAACAAGATCCGTGACCCCATGGACCTGGAGTACATAGCTCGCACGTTGGTCAAGTACCTGGATCAGGGGGAGGTGCCCCAGCAACAGGAGATAAGTCATCTGCTAATGGACATTGTCTCGCAGCTGCTCAATATTCCCTATCGGCTGTTCCGTGAGGCACAGGCGGAGCAGGGCACGGGCTTGCGACTGCTGTACGTCGTGGAGTCCTCGGCCATGCGCCTGGCCCAGGCCCAGACCCAGACCCAGACCCAGAGCAGCACGCATTCCAGAGATCTGCTGCCGGCTGCTGACTTGCTGCCCTCATGGAGGGGCGGGGGCGTGCAGCAACGCAACATTTTCGTCGAGATCTTCAACATAAGCCTCGACTCGTTCTTTAGCCTCTCCTGTGTGTGGCTGGAGGAGAGTCCGCGCGGCTTCCAATGCAACAGCTCCAATGACACAATACCCATGTACGAGCACGGCGAGATCGACGCTGCCATACAGCTGCCCTACAACGTGATCAGCAATAGCTCCATCTCCTCCAGCGCCAGCTCCACTATCAGCTCCAGTTCCAAGAACCTGCGGATCATGATCTCGCTACACAGGAACGCCAAGCTGCTGCCCAATCTGAGAGGAGCTTTCAACGAGACCCTCTCCTCAGCCATAATCGGAGCCCTGGCCTACAGCAGCGAAGGACAGTCCCTCGAGTTTCATACGCCCACACCCGAGCTCGATATCGATCTAAATGATAACGGGAGGGACGATGTGTACCAGCAGAGGATCACGGTGATGCTGCGGGCACATCCGTACCACCACCAGCTGAGCGCTCCCCAGCCGGCGTGGTGGGACGCCGCCGAGCAAAAGTGGAATCCGCAGGTGTGCCAGCAGCACTACCAGCATCTCACCCTGGTCATGTTCAGCTGCAGCCGCATAGGCTACTTCGGGCTGCTGCAGCGCAGCGCGCACCTCAATGACTACCGCAGTGAAGAGGCGGGTGCCCGCTTCCACCACCCGCCGGTGGCCATATATGCGGGATGCGCCCTGCTCTTCGCCTGCTGCGCCGTCAATATCGTCACGTTCATCGTGTTCGGGTTCTCCATACGCATGAACCGGGTGCAGCGGCACGCCCTGGTCAACACTTGGCTGGCTGTGGCCGTGCTCGCCCTCACATTCGTGCTGGGCATCTTCCAGACGGCCAGCCAGACGCAGTGCCGCCTTTTCGGCTTGCTGATGCACTACCTCAGCCTCTGCGTGCTGCTGTGGGTGTGCGTCAGCCTCAGCAGTATGTACAAGCGCCTGACGAAGACTACCTCCGCCAGTCAAGGCCGCATAAGCCAGGAGACGGAGCTGCCGCGCGACCGTGACCGTGACAGAGAGCAGCAAAGGAAGCCCATCTTGGGCATCTACCTCGTGGGCTGGGGAATCGCCCTGCTCATATGTGGCATCAGCAGTGCCGTCAACATAGCCGAGTATGCCGCCTACAACTACTGCTTCCTCCACAGCCCCACCACCCTAAATGCCGTGCTCGTGCCGGCCGGAATACTGGTGATATTCAGCGCCATCCTATCCCTATGCATCTACTACCAGCTGAACCAGCAGGAGGTCAACGTGCTCCAGCAGCAGCAGCAGCAGAAGCACCAGCGCCAGTACTCCGACAACAACACCCAGGCCACGGAACACATCGATCTGGACTGGCTGGATGCCAATGGTAGTGCCATCACCGCCGCTGCAGCCGCTCGCAAAGAGGCCAGCAATCTGCAGATGCAAGATCACCTGCAAGAGCAATACAGTACGTTGAGCAACCCGCTGAGCAGCATCGTCGACGACTTCGAGCGTTCCAACATGTCGCACCTGCGAGGGCACTTCATATTTGTGGTGCTCTTTGCTGGCGTCTGGCTTTCGGCCGCCTTCTACGTGAAAAGTGGCAAGCAGATCTTTGTGTTTAGCTTCGCCGGGTGCTCCGCTTGCCTGGGCCTCTTTCTGCTGCTGTTCTACAACCTCAGCCGGAACGATGCCCGGCAGGCGTGGTCGCAGCACCACGGCCGGCGAGCCAAGCACACCAAGCTGGTCACCTACAATAACGGTATCCAAGCTAGATCCGCGCATCTTGGCAATGGCCAAGGCCCTGCCATTGGCATTGGCGTCGGTGTCGGCACAGCCTCGATTGTGGCCTACAAGGCCAACCCGGGAGGTGGGGGTAGCCTGTATGACGCAAACAACTCGGCTGGATCCCGCTCCAACAGCCAGTGCTCGCGCAGCATGCGCAGCCAGACACGGAGTCAGACGCGCAGTCAGCAGGAGCAGCTACTGGGTGGGACTGGAGTGACCATTATTAACAACACCAACAGCCAGCAAGGAGCAGGAGGCACTGGAGTGGGAGTGGGACTGGTGGGCGGCAGTGGAGTTGCAGCTGCCTCACACAGCCTGAACGCGCTGCTTCATGGCTCCAGTCACGACCTCATCCCCTCGGCAGAAATCTTTTACAATCCCAATCAGATCAACGTGGCCCGGAAATTCTTCAAAAAGCAGAAGCGACTGGCGAAGCGCAACAACTTTGAGCTGCAGCGCCAGACCATGCCGCAGATGCAGCTCCAGAGCCATCACAGCCTGAGCGACGCCAGCTCGGAGCAGCTCTACAGTCGCCACCACAATGCCATGACCTTGCTGGCCGGGGGAACGAAGGTGAACAACACAAACCTGCACTACAAGTCGCCAGCGCCGGGCCCCAGTGCCTCAGCAGCCGGGATGCAGCTGATCCGGGGCAAAGAAATCGCTCCGGTAGAGGTGCAGGTACAGGAGGGGCTGCAGTTTAAGCGCTTCGTCCCCGCCTCCTCCGCCAAGATGCAGATTATGCAGGCCAACATCTACACCAACATCCCGGAGACGCTGACACCTCAGCACGAGGTGATTAAGCTGAGAGCGAATGGGCGCAACACTCGCACCCGAACGCCTTCTCTGCTTGACGAAACACTGCACGAACAGGACGACGACGACGACGAGAAGGATGAGGTCGACCTGGAAGAGGGAGAAGGCGAAGGCGACGATGCCAGCTCCTTGGATGAGCATGCACCGCTCTATGCCAACACTGTGCAGACGCCTAGCACAGTGAACGGCTTGTTCCGGCCACGCGCCCACCTACAGGGCCAGTCGCAGTCTCAGTCCCAGTTCATCCGCTCGACCCCGCTGAAACAGCCGAGCCTGGAGGCAATGAACAGCCTGGGCTTGCCGGACACCGGTCAGGAAGAGCCGCTGCTGCAGAAGTACGAGATTTACGTGTCCAATTCGCTGCAAGTGACCACGAGTAATAGCATTCAGCTGGACGACGACTTCCCCAGCGTCCTCATTCGCTTCAGCCAGCAGCAGTCCAAGTCCCTCAACAACATTAGCGAGATGCTCAGAGCAGGTGGAGGTGGGGGATCCACAGGAGATGCCGGCGGGGCGGGAGCAAGCTCATCCTGCGCTTTGCCGGATGATCCGAGTCAACTTCCCACAGAGAATGGCTCCGGCTCTCTGCAGGAGCAGCATCGACAGCTCTACTCCTGCTCCAGCAGCAACCTCAGCCAGCTGAAGGCGGCCTCGGAGGCAGCCGGCCATCAGGGGGCAGAGGACGATAGACGCCTGCTCTCGGCCAGCCCCACCAACGAGAGCGACCTGAACTACCAAAACTCAGAGATTAGCATCCGCAGCCATGGCCTGTACGCCCCTCAGGCGGACAACGACCTTAACCTCACCCTGACGGACGATTTCCGCTGCTACCAGTCGTCCAATGCAAGCGACGCCGACGTCGATGTGCTCAACGAGTTCGATGATGAGTTTGTGACGGACACCGGAAACCGACCGGGCAGCGCAGATCAGGAGTTGCACCACCTCGACCACGACCAGGACACTTCCATCGATGAGCTTTACGAGGCCATCAAGTGTCGTAGTCCTCTGCGCAACAGGCAGGATAAAGACTCAAGCGAGAGATTCGAGCGGGACAGAGAGATGGGTAGGGAGATAAAAAGTCAGAGTCCGAAAGAGAGAGAGGTGCAAACGGAGCTGGAGCCAGAGCGAATGCCAGATGCGGATGCGGATGCAGATCCAAAGGGCAACAGTGAGATCCTAATGAGCAGCAACAGCAAATCGCAAGAAAATCTCAATGATAATATCGAAGATGACAGTAGCCAGAGTAGCGTGATTTCGTACATCGATCCGAGGGCTAGCAACGAGCCTCGAGGCTATCCTAGTTAGCTCGTGGGTAGGCCACGTACCGGTACCGTAGCCTCAGTTCAAGACCCAACCTTAATCTTTGAGCTACTTAGCTCATAATCAAATGTATATACAGATGATATACACCGCGCCCCAAACACAGTCCATATTTTCTATCCCCTGTTCCATCTCCCGCCGTGCTTGGCCGAAAGCTTCCAAGTGCCAATGCCAAAGTATTCTTTTCGTCATTAAAGTGTAAGTTTGAAACAACTGTCACCTCACCCGCAGACACACACTGATACTACATACATACATCTACACGTATATGTTTATCTGGAGTACATTCTCATCATCAACCCCAACCCATCTGTATTTGTGAGGCGCACCCCTGTTGTGATGCCCAGCCCACATGAACTTGTAATTATAGGAAAAGTCCCACCCGCCCACACACTATTTATTTTAACTATTTACTTTTTATTATAGATATCTTTTCGTTTCACCTCACCATGAGATTACTTTATTATTAAAATAGAATATTTTTATTTTCCTTCCCTTCCTCATTCGCAATGCTTATTCTTTAAGCCGTTGGGTAAAACAGAGTGCATTTTAATCTCCATACGCTAAGTTCACATTTACACATAAATAAATTAAATGTTCACAGTCGAATTTCATGCATCTCTGGTCTTTGATTTGGGTTTTGTTGGTATGTACATGTGAATGTGCATAGGCCTGCATTTGATTTAACGAGCTTCAAGATTGTCAATGTCCACCAATGAGGATCAACAACTAACTCATTTGAAAGATTACAGGGGAGTTCCCAAGTTTATGCTTTCTTTGGAAATGCAAGCACGTACATATTTATATACATGTACAGATTAAGGATTAAGGATCCAACATTTCGCCAGTCATAATTTAAATTTGGTGGTATATGTGTGGAAGCACACATGTGTTAGAATGTGCAATTAAATATATATTTTTATGATTTGTTCAGGAAATATGTAAATGGCGAATCAGACACCAAATTACAAACCAGAGGGAACGTTGCAACGCGCTGTGAGTCCTTGCTGCGCCCGCGACTCGACTTTGATACCCGTACTCAGTCAGTCTATATGGTTTACATTTATTTGCTACATCTGTGATCAACATCTACATCTCTTTTCTTACAGCTCCGCCAGAGGGCCACACTGCACGTGGTAAAGTGTGTGAGGAATGCACTGAAAATTAATTTCTTCATTCTGGCTGTAATAATGATCAAATATGAACAAGCAATCTGGTAGTTATGATCATTCTCTACGATACAGCGTTTTCCGATTTCTTGTATCTCTAAAATTATTGCCCCTGATTCCGTCCATCGCGGAGGCGCTAGGGGGCGTGGCAAATATTTTTTTTTTCGAAAGCGTGTTACCTGGCTACATACATATGTACTTATCTCGACGCTGGATACGGTAAACACTTCTAAAGCTGCGTAAGCAGTAAGCGTGGAGTGATCAGGCAATTGCCGGTCTTCTTGATTAATTTTTCCAAACAATCTACTCTCAGGAAATCTCTGGTCTGCAAACTAAATATATGTATGTACATAGTAGATAGACATCGGCTTAAATTTATTAAAGAGATTACAAATGTTGGCATTTATTTTTAGGACTGATGGAATACAACTCAACAAATTCTTGATAAGTAAATTTGCATATGTATGTATGTAGGTAAAATTGCAACTATGTAGTAATTATAAGGTAATTTATTTTCTGAATTCAGCTGCGAATTTATAGAGAGGGACCTAGGTGTGATCATCTTGATGGTTTTGATGATGATGTCCATAACGAATTAAATGATTCAGAAAATAATGCCAAATGGAGTAAAGAGATCATCGCAATTATCATAACCGTTGGCGCGACTATCAGGATGTTCGTTTAAGTCAATATTAAATATTTTATCTTACATTTAGAACAATAACAAGAAATGTGTAAATTATAATACGATATTGCTGATAGATGTCACCATGGTGGACACCATGGTGACACATAGTGCTGTCTCTGCGAGTTTCTGATGGCAATTTCTCATATCGGCATATCCACTCGTCTCAGATGCTGCGTATGGACTTCCAGCGTCGCAGCAAGAGGCAGGAAGAGGTCAGCCCACTGGAGTATTGGCTAAATTCGCTTATGTTTATATTGCGTGTTGGAATGTCAATTTTCTCCTTCAAAGTCTGCAAAAAACAGAAAGTTGAACTTAACCAAATTGAACACATACTATATAAATATATATATATATATATATATATATAGTTTATCCACCTTGTATGCATCTGGAATTTCCGTAGGGGATCTGTGGACAATGGTTCCATTTATGTACAACATATTGGCCGCACTCTCCTCGGGTAGCGTTAGCTTCTGGTAAGTGAAGCTGGCCTCTCGCTCCATCCGCTTCACGATCTCCTGGCACGGTGCACTCTTGCTTACACACAGAACATCCGGGCCGGCCATGGTGACGTAGTATTTTAAACGTTTCGATCCATTGACCTAAGGGACAGAAAAAGCGATTCATGTTTGAATAATTTCCTGTATGTAGTCTATGTTATGTCAGCCATTTTGGGATGCCTCAGGTCTCGCGAAGAGTATTCGAAGAGTATTTCCTGGATGGATTTCTAACTTGCTTTTGGTGTGGCTGCTGTGTGCATATTTGTGGTTTTCGTTGTTTTTTTCATACGGACATCCGTGGTATAACTCACCCGAATTGGTGTGACTGGATACTCGGGATATGCCATGGCTACGGCTCGCGCACCTTCTTCGTTGGTACACCCAGATATGCCAATGAAAAACTCTCGTCCTAGTTGTGGGAACGGGAGTATTCTTTATGAGAAATGTATCGCGAAGATGAGTGGGCGTACGCTTACCCGTAAAGAGCACATCCCCGCCATCTAGCCTGGCATGAGGATCGTCTATTTCTATAACGGGAATTTCAAGCTCTTTCTTTAGAATGATTGCCATACTGGCGGCCTCGCGTCGACGCTTGGCATTATCCGATCGGCCTATGAGAGCCACTCCATTGCAGATCACAGCGCTGTTCTCGACGAAGACGCCTTCCGGCAGCAGGTCGTCGGGCGGCAGCTCAATGACATCCAGGCCAATCTCCCGCAGCAAAGTGCAGTATTGTTCGTGCTGGCGTTTAGCCAATTTCACATCGAACGGCCCGCTCTCGAGTAGGGCCTCCGAGATTCTGCTTGACAAAGGCGGGAACAATTGTGCGAGATTAACTACCATTCAACGAAATAATTAATTAAGGCCCCACCCACGGGTGTGCGTGTGTTTGAGTGGGTGATGTGGTGGTGGGGTAGCGTAGCTGTGAGGTTGATGTCCACTCAATGCCCCACCCAACCAATCATGTGTACACATAAACAGCATGACCCATTTCCTCGATTCATTCAAAGGCTTTCGAAACAGGATCTGCGGTGGCGACTGCAGCGTGACCTGCACTCCACTCACCTGGCCACAATCGCGTGCGTGTATTTCGGTGACATGTCGGAGTTTTGTTTTTGGCCACTGTTTTAGAGGTGTCAAACAATCGAGGGCACTCTCGATAGTATCGATATTTTACTGCTAGTCTTTACTATCGACGGTTTTGCGACTATCATGATAGTATCGAGCTACAGTCGTTGCGCTTTTCATATGTTTGGATTGGCTGCTATAAAATACGAAGACACAATTTTAGACAAATCGACAGGTGTCATCTAATTTTTACAATGGACAAGTTCCTAAAACGTTTCAATAGTTTTTTAATAATTATTTGAGCCCGATACTATCACGATAGTATCGACTGTTTTTTTTGAAAACATTCAATGTTGATATTCCTCGATATTGATATTCCATTTAATATTACCAGCTAGTTGGGACTCTCAGCCCTAAACAAATAATTTTATCCGATAGATACATAAATTTTTTTTAGAGATTGGCAAGTTTTCAGAACTCTTTTTCATTGGATTGTTTACATAATAAGGTTCAAACAAAAACGGCCAAAGCATAAAACGTAAATGTTGACTAAATGTGACGTCAGTGTTGCTGGTCAACCAAGTTTCTTCTATGCGTATGCGTATGCGTATTGTATACCATATTTCCTTTAATTGATATTAAATTTGTTTTTCCAAGCTCCATTCAAACATTAATAATGATTTTATCCTAGATTGACATATTTTTTACCTATTAATGCATATTTTTTGTGTGTTTATGGATACATTTATCCCGGTTCTGATACCTATTATTGGTACCCGCAAGCTGCAAAATTTCTTTAATTCTTTAAAACAGAGACTGAGTAGTTTCTGCATTAATTGGAGCATAAAACTACCAACAATATCTCTATTCTACAATATCCGTTTTCCCAAGGTATGCACATTGTTGCTCATTCCGTGCCAAAGTTGCACAGCAATGCTACTAATTCATTTCCCCATGTTGCTGAAGTTTTTCCCATACAAATAAAATGTATCTTACGGGAACACGCAACAATGAATTTACGTTCCAAATAATCAGCACCAACCAGTGAAAAAGGTTGAAATTTTGGTACAGTTTCAGTATTTATTGGTAAAAGGGAATTTATTTTCTTTCATACGAGACAATTAATTGAGGAGTCAACCCGTCGGAAAATGTAGCGTGCGTCAAAAATTGGCCCTAGATAGGATACCTTTTAGCCTGGAGAATGTCAACAGCTACAAGCTGGAGAGATTCGGAGAATTTTCTCCCTCCACGAACTATTGCTACTATTCTTTTAAGCTACTACTTGCTTAAGTTTTACATGTACATATTTGATATACAATTGTTTGGATAAAAAATGAGCCAAACCAAGCCCATTCTAGCGTTCCTGTTTTAGAAAACTTTATTTTGGTGATCAGAGAAAGTTAGGTATTGAAATGGGATCTTATTAAATTTGAGAATCGTACCTTTATATTTATCTTGGGAGTTCGCCAGATTCATTTGGCCATATAAATCCACGCCAGACCCGACTTGAATACTTTTCGATATAAAATCCGTTACAAAAGTAACGGCTTACCTTACGCGTTTTCAACTTTCAACCATTGATCGTTTGAAATTTTCTGTAAACATTTGGGGAGCTTTTCTGGGCAAAGTCCAAAAAAATGTTCGCGCGACCATGAAACAAGAATATAATGAAATATATTTCACAAGTCCGCTGAGTACCAAAAAATGATCCATTGATAATTTTTTAAATCATAACATTAAATTCACACGATGAAGTAGACTCATTGTTGCCTCGGTTCTCGTAAGATACATGTGGCTAACATCACGAAAAAGGGGAAAGTCGAAACAAAAGAGCTCTCTTCACCTCGGAAAAGAGGGCAAATTTTGAAAGCCCACAACGAATTGAGAGCGAAAAATGTCAGTATTTTTTTTGCGCTAAATGGAGTTTGGCGGTCATTTTGAAAAGTATCTTAATGTATTGAAAAATAACTGGAACTGGAACCTCAGAAATATACCTAAATATACCTTGTAATTTTCAAAATATACCGTATATGTATATACCGATGAAAATCATATTCCTCAATTTTGATATTCGGTCTAGTGTTACTAGCTAGCTGAGATCTTCACTGATAAACATATAATTTTATTAGAAAGATTAATCAATTTTCTAAAAGATTGGCAAATTTTTAAAACTCAGTATTATTATATCTATTGTTAATAAGCACCGGCGACCACCGTGAAGAAAATATGTTTTGAAAACAATATTTGTTATATATTCATAAAAATTAATAAAAACAATAAATAATATAATATCCATATAATTTTCCTTCATATATCTGCCTTAATTAGATTCCATTTGCGTTGATTTTTTAAATATTTCATTTGGTTTTTGTTCTCATATTAAAATGTTTACTAGGCTTTAAGCCTAGTTCTCATATCCAAAAAAACACCTCGCGAACAGAATCAGGGTTGATATTCGTATGAAACCGAAATTTTGTCGGGCAAAAACTGTTTTCTACGATCTGTACGTAAAGTCTAGTACTCAGATCCAAAAACTTTTTGCTAGCAAACAAATGTCATATATTCTTTCAGTGACCAGTTGTTTTTCCAGAGGTGTGCACTGCACTCCCAACGGTTACACTGCTCAGACCGCTGCTTGGTTTTGTTTAAGCCTAGTACTCAGATCGAAAAAAACACCTCGCGAACAGAATCAGGGTTGATATTCGTATGAAACCGATAAGAAATTTTTTACGGTAAAAACTATTTTTTTGGCTCTGTACGGAAGGCAGTACTCAGATCAACAAACAAAAAGGTTGGTATATACTAGAAAAGTATCCGAAGTATTTGCTTGTATTGCTGGTATGTTTCGACCCACCTAGAAGGTTATATCAAATTGATATATTTTGCCAGCAAACACGAAGCAAACATTGCAATAATAGAACAAAAAACCAAATGAAGTATTTTAATAATGAAGACAAATAGAATCTAATTAATGCAATATTATATGAATGACAATTATATGGATATTATAATTTATTATTTTTATTAATTTTCATGAATATAAAACAAATATTTTTTGCAAAATATTTTTTCTTCACGGTGTCCGGCACGGGAGACGTCGCCATTTGCTGCTGCTGATAGTCAGACACATTACCTTGCCAATAAAATATTGGGGAGCCCAGTATATGCCTGGGGAAGAGCGACCCCAGCTGAAGAAGTGCATTTTATTAACTTTAAACAAAACCAAGCAGCTGTCTGAGCAGTTTAACCGTTCGGAATGCAGTGCACACCTCTGGTCACACACTGGTTGCTCGAAGAATATATGACATTTGTTTGATAGAAAATGAACGCGCCGGTTGATATCTTTTTCGAGCGGCTAACAACATACCAACGAATACCAGCAATTACCATCGGCTGCTTTTCTAGTATCTATCAGCCCCATTTTTCCTTGAACTGAGCACTGCCCGCTGTACAGACCCTAGCAAACACTTTGTGCGCGAAAAAATGTCTTATCGTTTTCATACGAATATCATCCCTGATTTTGCTAGCGTACAGTTTTTTTCGTATATTCCCATAAAAACCGAAACAACCAAACATACACAAATTAATCGTTGTGCATGTATTTCATCCAATACCGATATTGAAGTGTAGTGGAATACGACCATTAGCACGACTATCGACTGCTCAATGGCGATGACTCATCTGCCGTTCTCTAACACCGTTCATCAAATTGATGCCATTGTTTCTCGAAAATTAGTACTTCTCATTATTATATTCTGCTCTACTCAGGATATTAAATGTAAATGAGTTTATTTCTTTCTCCTGCACTAGTTTCAAACTATGGACCGACCAGTCACAAATGGCAGGCCTCGCTAATGTCTAGAGCTTGGTCACACTGTACAAGGCACTGATATTGTCGTGTAGCAATTTTTTTTAATAAAAGAAATTTAAGGAAAGATCCGTTGACAGATGGCCAGTCGTGGTTGTGGCTCTACCATTATCCACGGCAATGTGACAGCCACGATGGTGACAGTTGAGTCCATCTCTAATGTGCTGACCACCGTGACTTCCCTGCATTCGAACAGCGTTAACATCTCTAATAATATATCCGCCGTAACGGGAGTGGACATCCAGGATGTGGGCGCCGGGACTGAAGGAGATACCACCAAGCCGATGTATCCGCGTCTGTTCAACAAAATCGTGCTGACGTTGGAGAACAGCCTGATACCCGAAAGCAAGATTGATGTAACGCCGTCCAGCCAGGACGGGCTGGACCACGAGACGGAAAAGGATCTACGCATACTGGGCTGCGAGCTGATACAGACGGCTGGAATCCTATTGCGCCTACCACAGGTGGCAATGGCCACCGGTCAGGTGCTCTTCCAGCGCTTTTTTTACTCCAAGAGCTTCGTGCGCCACAACATGGAGACGGTGGCCATGAGCTGTGTGTGCCTTGCTTCCAAGATCGAGGAGGCGCCCCGCCGAATCCGCGACGTCATCAACGTGATCCACCATATCAAGCAAGTGCGGGCCCAAAAGTGAGCAAAAGAAATCCGAATCCCTGTTCCTGTATCTGATTGATATTTTTTTTTACAGGGAGATCGCGCCTATGGTATTGGACCAGTACTACACAAACCTTAAGATGCAGGTGATTAAGGCCGAGCGACGGGTGCTCAAGGAACTGGGCTTCTGCGTCCATGTAAAGCATCCCCACAAGCTGGTCGTAATGTACCTGCAGGTGCTGCAGTACGAGAAGCACGAGAAGCTTATGCAGCTCTCGTGGAACTTTATGAACGACTCATTGCGCACGGACGTCTTCATGCGCTACACCCCGGAGGCGATAGCCTGCGCCTGCATTTACCTGAGCACTCGGAAGCTTAATATACCGCTTCCCAGCAATCCGCCTTGGTTCGGTATCTTCCGCGTGCCCATGGCCGATATAACCGACATCTGTTACCGAGTCATGGAGCTGTACACGCGGCCCAAGCCCGTCGTAGAGAAGTTGGAGGCGGCCGTCGACGAGCTGAAAAAGCGTTATCTGGACGCCCGCACTAAGACGAAGGAGGCCAACACACCGCCAGCCGTTATCACGGTGGACCGCAACAACGGCTCGCACAATGCCTGGGGCGGATTTATCCAGCGAGCCGTCCCACTGCCACTGCCCTCTGAGAAGTCGCCCGAGAAGGATTCCCGGTCACGATCACGCTCCCGGACCCGCACTCAGTCACGTACCCCTCGCTCCAGATCGCGCTCCCGCTCGCCAAGCCGAGAACGCACGAAGAAGTCCCACCGTGGGCGCTCCCCGAGAACGCGCTCAGGCACGCCGCCCAAGCACAAAAAGAAGTCTCGACACTACTCGCGATCCGCCACGCGCTCCAGCTCCCCCCACAGCAAGCACCGCAAAAGGTAAGTGAGAGATTATTTTCCCTCCGGATAAATATTGCTATATTAAGGAGTCTTTTCAGGAAATCGTCGCGAGAGAGATCCGACTACTATACGAAAAAGGATCGCTCATGCCATGCCGGCAGCAACAATATAGGCGATGATAAATATCGCAATTCCAACTCTAGCTCTGGAAAGCACAGTCGCTATTCCTCATCGCATCGCAGCAGTGTCGGGGGCGGTGGTGGTGGCGACCCCCGTCATGGCAGTCGTGCCGGTCACAAGCATAGGGATGAACGATCCAGGGACCGAAAACGCTAGGAATTGACTATAATCTTTTTTATTTTTGCATTATATATTTATACAAGTTCATAGAGAATGGTTTTTATTTTACAGCTCGCATCAACCTATTTCGCAAAATGTAACTTTCAAGTGGGAGAAACGACCATGCTAAACATAATAAACATAATTCCTCAATAATGATTAGATGCGAAGCTTTGCCGAGCTGGCCACCTGGGGGCTATCTGTTTTCTTTAGAATCATTTTACATCACAGCAATCTGGTAGAGGAAGCCTGCAAGCATGAACGACTGAGGGATACGACGGAAATAATGAGTTCGAGGGGATTAGCACATTGCAGAAGATTCCTCCTTGTCGAATGGGGGGGCTGTATGAATGTATGAAAAAGCATAACTTCATGGGGAGCTTACGTACACCAATCAGCGTTATGATTGTTAACGTTGATCATTACATCTGTATGAGGGAATCATTGTTAGCTTTATTTAAGAGAGACGGATTAAATGATGATGTATCAACATGGCCACTGAGCGGCATGGCATCCTCTCATCTCATCACATCCAACTAATACTCGGTCAATAGATTCTAAATTGTTGTAGAGTAGGACATCAATGCAATATGGGGATGCGAGAGCGAAATATCGCGGAACTCTGTGGTAAATGTCAGAATAAAGAAGCTAAATATGGTGGCAATGATCCACTCTGAAATGCTGCTGATCACGTGAAAGTACCAGCCACCGTCCGAAGGATACCTAAAATGAATACAGATGCTTATGAGAGACTCTTTTAACATCCACAAACGGTTCGGTTACTTACCATTTCCTGGGGTTCTGGCCCTTGAACAGGATGTGCGACATAAGCCCGGTCACGGCCAGCAGGATGAAGAGAATCGTACAGCAGACGGACATGCCCAGACGCAGATGGGCGTAAATGCGGGTCCCAGACATGGGATAAATCATGTACGATATGAGCGCCTGCATCCAGAAGTAGAGAGTGCCGCAGCCGAAGCAGCAGAAGGCGCCAATGAAGTGCACAATGCGCACATTAGTCTCCTGGAAGTTGCCCACGAAGCTAATGCCCAGACAGGATAGCATACCGCACCACAGCGCCACACGACTATGGCGCTTCACAGCGCTGTCCAGATCCGGATGGTGCTCGTACAACTGCATCACTTGTCTGTAGCGCACATAGATGGTGATTCCTACTGCAAACAGCAACAACAACAAAAGTAGCATAGTTGCTGATTAGCATCGGACATGACATGACTCATTAGCCAGCCACTCGAGAGGGAAACTCACACAGAACACTGCCTATATTAATGAGTTCCCCGAACACGCAGCTCTCGGGCGAGTAGGTGGCCGCATCACTTATATACGGCACCGTGGGAACAACGTGACCTTCCAGGACAGCTACAATGTACCTTAAAGGGAGACGCTGGCTAGCTACTGCTGTTTGAAGATAAGGATTCCTTTGACAGGGAACTTACGTGCCAATAAAGGTCACCTGGAAAACCAGGAACACGGCTACCGGAAGTAGATAAACTTGGGACATCTTGCCAATGAGGCAGTACAGCAGTAGAAGCAGTGACAATTTTCAGGCTGCATGCAAAATGCAATTGCGCTGCAGACAACAGCAAAAGCGAGCAGATTGGGTATTGGCTACTCAGTTTGTGCTGGGGAGGGGTGGTGAGGCAATGCATGGCAGGGCTGGGCTGCCAACCCGCCTTTTACTGAATGCAGCTAAAAAATACCTCCCCTACACAGTTGACTGAAAACAAAACAAATTTACAAATATGGACATCAAGGAGATAGTGGAAATCGATGGCTCCTACTTGGAGGGCGGCGGACAGGCCCTGCGGAACGCCCTCAGCTTAAGTTGCATTCTCAGGCGTCCCATCCGCGTTGTCAAGATTCGCGCCAACCGGCCCAAGCCCGGCCTGGCCAACCAGCACCTGCATGCCGTCAACTTGCTCAAGGACATTACCAATGCCGACGTCGTCGGCAACACTCTTCTCTCGACGGAGTTGGAGTTCACGCCCCGCACCATAATCGGGGGCATGTACAGGGAGGATACGCACACGGCGGCTAGCATCACGCTGATCTACCAAACGGTCCTCCCCGTCCTCCTCTTCGCCGGTAGATCATCGCGCGTTGATGTGACTGGCGGAACGAACGTGTTCTTTGCGCCCCAGGTGGAATACATGCTTCAAGTGCTGCAGCCGAACCTCGAACGCTTCGGCATCTCCTTTGAGCTGAAGGTGCTGCACTACGGCTTTTGTCCACGGGGCAACGGACGCTGCCAGCTGGACGTAGAGCCGGTGCGGCAACTGAGTGCCGGCCAGTTTCTAGAGTTCGGCCAGATCCAGTGTGTAGACGGAGTGTCGTTTTGCGCCGGCCGCATACCCATGAGCCTTGCGACCGACATGCAGGAGGCGGCCGTACTTGAGATTCATAGACTCCGGCCGTACCAAGACTGCCGGATTCAGGTGGTTAAGCACTCCCTAGAAAAGGCGCGCGACAATGGGGCTGGGATCGTCATGGTGGCCCACACATCCACTGGCTGTGTGCTGGGCTCCTCCGCCTTGGGCCAGAAGAAGTTTTTAGCCCACATGCTAGGATCAGACGCGTCCTCCCAACTAGCGGGATACATGAGTGCGGAGATCTGTGTAGATGCCAACCTCCAGGATCAGCTGATTATTTTCATGGCCCTCGCCAGTGGCTGCTCCCACTTCCGCACCGGCTCACTCACCCAGCACACCCGCACCGCCATCTACGTGGCCGAGAAAATGACTGGCGTGAAGTTCAGTGTCGACATCAATCAGTCTGGACAGACTGTAGTCAGCTGCGAGGGAATCGGCTACCGCAATGAGTTCCTCCAGTTAGATGCATAATGTCTGTTTTATTCTTAATTTGCTATTTAGAATTAATATGAAAATAAATCGGACGCTGACCTAGAGGCGGCGGAATATGGCCAAGAAGTGGTCACCCTTGTTGCGTACCACCTTGGCGCCCTCCTCGCTACTCTGGTACAGCCTTGGTGTGATGGGATCTGTGTTCTGGTGGAGATACGAAAAAAATGTCTATCAAATCTGCAATGTGAGCTTTACTTTGTGTTTAGCTTACTGCCTCCACTTCGTCCAGACGCTCGTACAGCGGATGCTCGTCCATGTGTGACACAATCCAAGTGTGCAAGTCCTCCACATCAGTCATGGTGTACACTAAGCCCTGCAGACACCAACATCAGTGCATGAGTTCATGAAAATTAAATAAAACAGGGAGAGGAGACAAGGCGGTACTTACTCCCTTGCGAAGAACATAGGCGTACTCGGAGAGCAGGGCCTGGTTGATGATGCGCCACTTGTGCTTGGCGCGCTTAAAGTGCGGATCCGGATAGAGAAAGAACATCTTTTCAAGCTGTCCCTTCCGGAAGTAGTTGGGTAGATACTTCATGGCGTTGGTGCGGAGACAGGCGATGTTCTGATAGGCACCAGTATCCGAACTCCTGTGTCTGAGGGCCGTAATGCGATCCAACACATAGTCTGAAACTTTGACCCGTATTTCCATCCCAATAGAGATCTTTTCGGGAAACAGTTCTCCTAGCGTGACTAGGAAGCCACCGTAGCCACAACCAATGTCGGCAAAACTCACTTCTTGGTCAGACCGAATGCTCGGGTACAGGGACCGCCAGTCCACATCCTCCGGCCGAGCTGGGCTATAAGAAACAAACAGTTCAATGAACCTCTCCTCTCCAAAGAATTTGGACTACGTATACGTACTAGTCGAAACAATGATCCGCTATAGGATTTGAGTGGGCTCGCTGACGGTAGAAGCGCTTCTGTGGCAGACCGGTCACTGTTGACGTATAGGTGAGCGCCTCATTTTCTTGTGTCGTTACCATGTTTTGTCTACAAAACACAGGCCCAAGAAAAGCACGTTGACACAAATACACAATTGACAGCAGTTGGCAGCGCCATTAGCTGTTGCAGTGTTGTTAAACTGTCAGGCATATCGTATGGTCGTACTTCCACTACACTTCAGGCCAGGCAGTGATTTGCGGGGTCACTTTTCACTGTTTAATAGGCTGTTCAGACTGGGGCTACGTCATGCTTCTTTGCGTCTTGCCGGAGACTCAAACTAGAGCTGTCAAACGATTGATAGTTGAGCCATCGAAGGTTTTGAATGTTTTGAAAAAAACAATCGATACTATCGTGATAGTATCGGGCTCAGATAATTATTAACTACTAATTATTTTTTTGTTGATATTTACTGGTTACTAACCTGATTAAATAGAGCGGGGTTAAGCTATTTTTTTTCTCGGTTTCTGAGGTTCCAGTCACACTCGACAAAACAAATCAAGTAAAATATATATTTTTCCTACCGGATGCTAACACAAAAAATAAAAACACACAAAGAAGAATAAACAAAAAAAAACACATAAACAAAACTAAAAATGAACCCGCAAAGAAATAAAAAAAGAAAAAACCCCAGTGAAAGCGTGCGGCGAGAGGACCCGGCACGGGCAACCGCCCCCCCAATTGTGATCCCACCTAGGGGTGCGGCCGCGGCCAGCATGGCCCTAGCAACCGGCCGGGGGGCCTGGCCCACCCGTCCGCAACAAGCCCTACGCGTGGTGGGTATAAACAGTGGGGCCCCCCCCACCCCCAACCAATGCCCCCGGCGGGCGCCGGCCGCCCATCGGCGGCCGCCACAAACAGTGACCCCCCAAACCCCAGCGGGTGCCCCCGCCGGCGGGCTGTACCCGTTTGATCGCGGCCCGTGCCGCAGCGTGGACGGACGCCCCCCGTACGCAGTGGGCGCCGCCGCCCATACCCGGGAGGCACCGGCGCATCCGCGCCCCGCAGCCCGCCCCCCAAGCCGGGCCCCAACAAAATATAACAAACAGCCACAAACCACCCTGTAAATAACGGCCCCCCCCCCCGACCAAAATCCGCCCTATATTACTCACCGAACCCGGTGTCCATATATAAAACGTACAAGATGAGCGCAAGGGACTTGGAGTGGGAGATAATATAACAAACCCCTACAAAAAATATACCGTTACGTTATAGAAAATATAAGCAATAAAAGTGCACATATACTCTTTCCCTAGGTATATATATACTTTTGAAAATGACTGCCAAACTCATTTAGCGCACATATTTCGTTCTCAATTCGTGGTGGTTTTTCAAAATTTGCCCTTTTTTCCGAAGTGAAGAGAGCTATTTCGTTTTGACTTTCCCCTTTTTCGTGATGTTATCCACATGTATCTTACGAGACCAGAGGCAACAATGAGTCTACTTCATCGTGTGAATTTAATGTTATGATTTAAAAAATTATCAATGGATCATTTTTTGGTACTCAGCGGACTTGTGAAATATATTTCATTATATTCTTGTTTCATGGTCGCGCGAACATTTTTTTAGACTTTGCCCAGAAAAGCTCCCCAAATGTTTACAGAAAATTTCAAACGATCAATGGTTGAAAGTTGAAAACGCGTAAGGTTAGCCGTTACTTTTGTAACGTATTTTATATCGAAAAGTATTCAAGTCGCGTCTGGCGTGGATTTATATGGCCAAATGAATCTGGCGAACTCCCAAGATAAATATTAAGGTACGATTCTCAAATTTAATAAGATCCCATTTCAATACCTAACTTTCTCTGATCACCAAAATAAAGTTTTCTAAAACAGGAACGCTAGAATGGGCTTGGTTTGGCTCATTTTTTATCCAAACAATTGTATATCAAATATGTACATGTAAAACTTAAGCAAGTAGTAGCTTAAAAGAATAGTAGCAATAGTTCGTGGAGGGAGAAAATTCTCCGAATCTCTCCAGCTTGTAGCTGTTAAAAGGCTAAAAGGTATCCTATCTAGGGCCAATTTTTGACGCACGCTACATTTTCCGACGGGTTGACTCCTCAATTAATTGTCTCGTATGAAAGAAAATAAATTCCCTTTTACCAATAAATACTGAAACTGTACCAAAATTTCAACCTTTTTCACTGGTTGGTGCTGATTATTTGGAACGTAAATTCATTGTTGCGTGTTCCCGTAAGATACATTTTATTTGTATGGGAAAAACTTCAGCAACATGGGGAAATGAATTAGTAGCATTGCTGTGCAACTTTGGCACGGAATGAGCAACAATGTGCATACCTTGGGAAAACGGATATTGTAGAATAGAGATATTGTTGGTAGTTTTATGCTCCAATTAATGCAGAAACTACTCAGTCTCTGTTTTAAAGAATTAAAGAAATTTTGCAGCTTGCGGGTACCAATAATAGGTATCAGAACCGGGATAAATGTATCCATAAACACACAAAAAATATGCATTAATAGGTAAAAAATATGTCAATCTAAGATAAAATCATTATTAATGTTTGAATGGAGCTTGGAAAAACAAATTTAATATCAATTAAAGGAAATATGGTATACAATACGCATACGCATACGCATAGAAGAAACTTGGTTGACCAGCAACACTGACGTCACATTTAGTCAACATTTACGTTTTATGGCCGTTTTTTGTTTTGGCCGTTTTTGTTTGAACCTTATTATGTAAACAATCCAATGAAAAAGAGTTCTGAAAACTGAACAACATTTTTTAAGGAATTGGATAAAATTATTTGTTTAGGGCTGAAAGGGCCAACTAGCTAGTGATATTAAACGGAATATCAAATTCGAGGAATATCAACGTTGAATGTTTTAAAAAAAAACAGTCGATACTATCGTGATAGTATCGGGCTCAAATAATTATTAAAAAACTATTGAAACGTTTTAGGAACTTGTCCATTGTAAAAATTAGATGCCACCTGTCGATTTGTCTACAAATGTGTCTTCGTATTTTATAGCAGCCAATCCAAACATATCAAAAGCGCAACGACTGTAGCTCGATTCTATCATGATAGTCGCAAAACCGTCGATAGTAGCGGATAGCAGCAAAACATCGATACTATCGATATTGCCCTAGATGGTTTGACACCTCTACTCCGTTCACTTCGTGGCTCTTGTTTATGTACGTCCCTTGTTAAAATTGAATTTAATTTGCAAGCGAATCGGTTCAGAAAATATAACTCACGACCTAATCGATCCAGTGTGTGATTTTTTTTTATTGTTTTTCTCAATTGTGCAGGTAAAGAAGCGAAACTCTAGACAGTGTTTAAATCGTAATAAACTGCATTGAAATAACCAAGTCACTCGAGTGCCCAGTGCTGATTCCTGCTCCTTGCTCGCGTGCCATGCGTGACCTCGGCACCAAAATGGCCGAGCTAAAATTTGAGGCTCCCCTGGCAAAGTTCGAGGAGACAGATGAGTGGGGCGGCTGCGACTTCATCTCTAACCAGAACGCCCTCAACGACACGCTTAACCTGAACCTGAAGGAGGTCAGTGTGGGCAGAAAGCCAGATGCCGCCAAGCTTCGCCTCCTTGAAGATGCGGTCCGTGATGCGCACATTAGCAAGAACGGCGGGGGCGGCGGCAGTAGCGGCGGGAGCATCAGTCCCAATTGCAATTCCATGATAAGCGGATCGGGCACGGATCTGGGCGTTTCCGAAGTGGGCCTGTTGCCGGGCGACGGAGAGGGGCTAGAAAAACCGTCCGCGGCCCACGGGGATCATGTGGACAACTTCACAGAGACGTTTGGCGGCAGCCTAGAAGATCTGGTTAACACGTTCGATGACAAGATAACTAAGTGCTTCGGCAACTACGAGGAGAACGTCGAGGAGCTGGCCCCAGTCCAGGTCCGCAGCCAGGAGGAGATCATGAATGAATGCCAGTGAGTAGCCCAGACATCCTGTATCCACATTCTCCAGCACTCTTTGATTATGTAAAGTGCATCATTCTGTGCTGGTTTCGTCTCTATTGCGACGCTGCTGGCATACAGTGCGCATGCCCCACTCATTCTCCCCTCAGTTCCAACCAAGTCTAACCCCGGCGCCATGTAACGACGTAATCCTAGTAGGTGGTGGTAGTTGCTGGATCGATAAAAGTGTCAGGAGTTGTTTTCACTCTTTCGATATTTTTGCACTGCATAGGGGGGAATACTGTTGCTCTGTGGGAGGATGAGGGAATGAATATGGTCATTTAGGGATTGTGGAGTGGAATAAACAAACGAATACAAAACAAAATGAATAAATAAGTATTATAAATTCCATTTTATTTTCTGCTTTCTGGTCGACTTTCTCGCTTTTTCCTCTATTCATTTACCCTTACCTGCATCAAGGCACTTCCTCTCCTCTCTGGCTGTCCCCACGAGTGCATCTTGCGGCTGTCTAATATGTAGGTGTTGGGAAAACTCAAATTTTAACTAAATGCACGTTCTGTCAGACTAGAATGACTGTGATCAGCGTTTCCCCCAAAGGGTATCGGGTCCATTTGGTGCATCTTTTTCAGTCCCGATTCTGTGCGCTTCTCTGCCGCTCCTTCTGTGGTTATTCTTGTTCAGCAGAGCGTTAAACATATATTTAAGGCTCCAGTGGCACCGTGTCAGCGTCAACACCTGCCTTCGAAATTTACCCCCACATAAAAGATGATTCGTTTATCTATTGTTCCACTCCCACCTAGGTCTCTCTGCCCTTCTCCGTCCACCATGTCTAAAACTGTATCATGTGCAGCTAAGTGCTCTAAGGATAGCTAAGATGGTAATTCAGCCACAGAACGACGGAAAAAGAGAGAGAAGTTGGGTATAAGCTTTTTCCAGACAACAGATTGAATATATGTACATACATATACATATATGTCAATTATGGTGCAGTACTACCCATATGGGTATTATACCCATACTACCACTCTTCCGGTTTTGATCGCATGGCACAAGCAACGAGAGCCGGCGGGAACGTGAACGTTATGACAACAATACCAAATCCCTAGCACATACAAACAATTAATTGTGCTGCTTGCCATTAAAATATGTACATAAGTACAGCAGAGTGCAGCCCAAAACCGATTCCCGTTTTGACCAGAGTTCCAGCTGTTCCCTAGCTGGTAAATATGGTCATACATACATATGTATGTAAATATGTATACCCTTTAAGACGGAATTACAGAATTTGTCAGGTGTTTTCATTGTTACAGCTATGTATGCACATGCATCTGTGTGTATCTTGTAGTGCCAAATATTAACTAAAATTACCCCCTTTTATAAAAATATACTGACGCCCATGTTCAGTATATTAGAATGAGTCTACTTTAAAGTCTAGCGGGTTGAGACCCAATGTGTATCTTTTGAAAAATAAAAATACTATAATTTCAATATTTGGTACAGAAAATTACACAGTGAACGGCACTGTGAAATTCCGCTGAAAAAAATATTTTCTTATGTTTCTTTATGAAGTGGGGGAGATTTTCAATACATTTCTAAAGAATATATCAAAACCGACGGCATGTAATAATACATACATATGTATATATTTCCCAGCCTTTTCGGCTGTTGTTCATTTACTATAAACGTTTTTGCAGTCACCCAAAGTCGCTCTCTGCTCTAGGTTGTGGGTTGTTGAATGTTGGGGGGCGAAGACGGGAAAGGCAACTGCCTAAGCAACCGACAACCGCCCTCTGATTAAGAGAAAACATAAGCAATAAAAAATTGTATACAAATGTATGCATGTATAAATGTATGGATTTACATATGCATGTATGTACATATATGTATGTGGAAGTATTTACATATATATATAGGTAGTTGTTCTCCTCTCCCAAGAATTGTCACGTTATGGATGGATGAGTCATCCAAACGACATTTCGTAGCCTCTTTCCAGGGTGAGAAAGAGAGATAGAGAGCAAGAAGGAGAGAGAGCGAGTGTGCTTAATGTTTATCAATTTAAGTCCATTGCAGTGTTGGGCAGAACCCGGTTGGGGGTTGTTGCGGCTCTTAATGCACGAGAGTCATATCCGGGCCGCAAACTTTTCGGACTTAACTGGATTGGGTCGGACAGGGGTAGCTGAAAGGGACGTTAACCTTTTAGGCATTGTTTTAAAACGTCGCCCAGGGTACAAGCACATACACCCCTTACACCCATATGTATGTTTGCATGTACATATGTAGATACATATATTTATGTACATATGTGCATAATAATTTGGGGAGGGAGATGACTTAAGAGAGCCTAACCTCACTCAATATAAACAAGTTAACCTTTTCTCGCTGCCTCTGCTAATTTTTGCGCCATTCCGAATATTATAGATGTCTGACTTCGGGAAGAGATAGACTTGATGACTAATTCACCACACATACATATACGCACACGGAGTACGAATACATTCATACATAGCTTAGCTTTTACGTCGGGCTATTACATCATATGGAAACAAAAACAAGGCAAATAAACCGAAAAAAAAACAATATTTGAAATACAGTCCAAGGACAACGGCAAAGCAGCACTTCTGCTATATATATATGTACATATGTATGTACAAGAAAGAGAAGAAGAAGATAGAAAAGGAGAGACAGTAAAAAAAGAGCAGAACATTTGGTTGAATGTTTAATAATTGGGTGCGTGCTGTCTCCACGTATCGCTCAGACTCTACTCTGAGTTTGGGGTGCAATTGGATCGAATTTGCCTCGTGTCACACCGTACATTTTAGTTCGGCGAAAAATCGGCACGAAATAACACGACGAAATACAAAAATTTCGATATATTTTCTTTTACGCAAGGAACAGAAGGTTTCAGAACCCTAGACTGCCGCATGATCTGTTTGTTCTGTCTTTTGGTATCGCTGGAGTGCTGGATTCATACTTTAAAGTATAAGATGGAATTAGGTGTGAATGTTTGAAAATATCCCTTTACATACATACAACTTTCAGACTAGATTGGAGTTTTGGGTCAAAGGCTGGTGCAGTGCAATACGGCCATTATAATTTTCATTTTACAAACAACCTTTGGCACTTTTTACAAATATTGTTTCAGTTTTGTTCGAGAGAGTGGCCAAACAAAAATAAGCCATACGTATATATGTACAGTTGTGTTCAATGAAATAGTAGTGCCGCACCTCATCACTTCCAAAACTTTTTTTGAGACACTTCCAGCTATCCAAATTGAACAAATTATAACTTTTTAAATAGACTAGACATTAGAAAACCGAAGAAATATCCATACATTTGAATTCAATCTTCTTGTTTTACATGACATAAGCTGAATTACCCATGAAATATGCTGTTCAATGAAATAGTAGTTTTATTTTAAATAAAAAAAAAAATAACGAAACACAAATAAAAACATATATCTCCTGTTCATGCTTCTTGAGCTTTAATATTTGGTTTTTAATTAATTTGGTCTTCATTGCGAACTTGCACCGGCCGAACATGGGTCATTAATCTCTTGCCAACGCTTCAATAGGATTTGAGCCAATAATCCTTGAACCACTTGCTAAAACTTTGCTCTGGTTCACGGATTTGCAGTTGCAACAATGTATTTGGTATTCCAGCATAAGGTTTTGATGAGATTAGTATCCAGTTGAACAGTTGGCCATGGCAAAACGTAGATCTTTTCCGATAAAAATCAATTCCTAGCGAGCTTTTCTGGTTGTTTCAAGTCATTATCCGGTTAAAATATCCTTTTAACAGGAATTTTTCAACTGTAATATGAATGTAATGTATGCCTACATACACAGATTTTCTCAATACCATACCTAAACTCAAACGCCAGGCTAGAAAGTACTAGCCTTCGACCATCGCCGACCATCCTCTAAAAAATAAGTTTTTCAAATACAAAATCGATTTTCAGTCTACTTCTTATAGTTAATTAATTAAACACAATAGTGAGAGTGCATACAACTTAGTTTACAATCCCATTATACCTCCTGCCTTAAGTTTTTAGTCTAACTCTTAGGTCTCCTCTTCTGGACGGAGCAATGATTTCTTCAACGCTTCAAAATTGAATTGAGCTTACGGGCGGTGGATTATTTATATTAATTTGTTTTGTTTTTTTTTTTTCATTTTTAAAAATTAATTTAACCCAGCACTACTATTTCATTGAACAGCAGATATCATGAGTTCATGGGTCATGGGATCTCATGTCTAAAGTCATGATAAAGAAGAAGATGGAATGGTTTCTTCGATTTTCTAGTGCCTATATTCCAGGCTTTCCGTAAAGTTATCACTTTTTCAATTTGGATAACTGGAAATATCTCAAAAAGAAATTTGTAAATGATGAGGTGCGGCACTACTATTTCATTGTACACAGCTGTATACTGTATATACATATGTACGTATGCATGTACATACATATGTACCTAATGATACGGATTATTGCCTCATACACAAATATATAACTTGCTCCTTGTAGGCTGCTGCGTTCAGTTTTCAGTTTTAAAATAAACGAAATTATTTGCAAAATATACAGTCAGTCTCCGGTTGCTTCCGTTTTCGCAAATTTTTTTCATCGATATGTTTTATTTTCTTATGGTCTGTTACGAGCACAATCTACTGTATTGGGTTGGGTTAAAAATAATTATTTATGAACAAGCCGTTTACTTTTCATTTCGACGAGGGAAAAATGGCGATTTGCGAAAGCGGGAGAACCAATATTTATACCCGTACTCAAAAAGAGTTAAGTTAGATTTGTGGTAAAAGTGGATGTGTGCAACGCAGAGAAGGAAACGTTTCCGACTCCATAAAGTATATATATTCTTGACCATCATCAATAGCCGAGACGATAAAGCCATTTGTCTGTCCGTCCGTCCGTCCGTCTTGTTTGTCGCTTAGATCTCAGAGACTAAAAGAGCTTGAGCAACCAAATTTTGTTTCCAGACTCACGCCCACAGAAGCGACTCACACGT